TATATATATATATATATATATGTAAATATATATGTATATATATATGTTGCTTAGACCCATTGTTTAGTGTCCTTGAGTGTCTGAAAGGCACCTGCAAATGAAATTTATATTATTATTATTATTATTATTGATGTTGTTGTTGTTTTTATTGTTGTTGTTAATAATAATAGTAATAATAGAGAGTGGCACCCTATCTGCCAGCAAAATATTATGAACAAATTAACAAATTTCACCCAAGATCTCAGAAATGAACAAAACAACACCCTGAACAGCCAGACTGAACAGGCAACAGAAAAAATATATAATAAACCGAAAAGCCCTGCAGAAATAAAGGAGGTAACCAAAATATCTTAAACAAGGGGAATCAAACAGAGAACACAAAAGCAAACACCAGGAACTTCCAAACTTTGACAGTGGTAGTAGCCGAGAGTCATTTGGATTCAGTCAACAGACATCTGTGGCATTCCATCAAGGATCGTCTGCTTCTCTTTAAAAAGGTTTTGGCGGAGTGAGTCGTCTGCTCCAGTTTCTTCATACGAAGCATAGCTTTGTAAACACGGCAACAGTGCTTGTCCCTTCGTGGCTTAACAGCTTGACAAGAAAACAAGTCCAAATGAACTCTGCTAACTGAGATGATATAAAACTCTAAATAAAAACAAATTTATTCTCTTTTATTACACGTTTATACCTCATTTCAAAGTGTTTCAACTCAATATTGCGACCAGTGAGCTAACATAAAGCCACTGTGGTGCAGTGTTTAGTGTTGTGGGTGGTGCTGTCCACAAACTGCTGACAGGCAACACCAATAACCACTAGTTTCATCCACAGGGGGGTGCTTTGTTGCAGCAGTTTGATCACCAGCACTATTCTGTATTGATTCCTTTTACCAGAGGACACAGAGAGTCCATGCACGCTGCTAATTAAAAGTGCTAATGGGAGCTTCATTGGACAGTGAGCGATGACTTTACCAATGCAGGGACTTTAAAGGCAACATTTTAGCCTCTTTTATAAAAGCTTCCTTTGTGTGTGTACTTGTGCAGTATATGTTTGTGTTTTCTTTTGTTGCAGGGTCACAATATCTTTGCAAACCTCAGCTCCAAAGAATACAGCAACATGATGCAACTCTTGAAGCAGGCGATCCTCTCCACAGACCTTACTCTGCACTTTGAGTAAGTGGTCTTTTCAGTGCATTCAGAGCTGAACGGCATCAGTTTATATAACAAAACGAGGTTTTAACACAGCCCTACAGGTGTATGCTTGAATTTGTCCTTTAATCAAAAGGCGCAGAACAAAGTTCTTTGAGTGCGTTCTGTCCAGTGAATTCAGCTGGTCAGTGGAAGAACACAGAGGACTTCTCAGGTTTCTACATTTGCACCAAAAAGAATAAAAATAATCACTTCAACTGCACAGAACAAAACAAACTTTATTTCCCCCCCATTAGATCTATGCTGATGACTGCATGTGATTTGGGCGCCGTCACTCGTCCGTGGAAGATATCGAAACAGGTTTGACTCGATCTGAGATTTGCAGAAACTCCTTTGAACATGTTTGGGCTTTTTTTTTTTTTTAGCAAATGCATAAATTACACATTTTTATTACACACCAGTGCAATTACACAAAGAAAACCGATAGATTCATCTGATAAAAATTCTCCCCGACATGAAACCAGTTTATTTATATATTTTTTATATTCCATTTGTCAGAATGAGCAAATTTGCATTGATTGAAGCCAATTACTAGATGAAAGAAGGTCTTACTGAACATGTAAGCCTCCTAAAGCTGCTAAATAAATTCCAATTAGGTTAGTTTTGTTTGCTGGGAAATTGCTAAAGCCCAGTTATCTCGCTAATCCACTTAGCTCTTTAATCTGCTTGCTTTTAGTTTGACACAAAGAAGCGTCTGAGCAAAAGCTTAAAAGTGTTTTCATCCTTGTCCTGGTTTATGCTCTCCTGCTTACGCTGCCCAGGACTAAGCAACATGAAATCAAAAGAAGAGAAATTTAAAGAAGGAATATAGAGAACCAAAAGGTTATTTAATTTGCCCCCATCTACATAAAACCTTACATAGAACATGGACCAGGATAGTCTGGTGTCACAAAACATAACATCAAGTATTAAATTACCACAAAGCTAGAGAGAGACACAGAAAATATTGAAACACAAATCAGACAACGCAGGAAATACATTTCATGAAAAGAAACGGCTCAGAAAATACAAAAATCTCACCAAAACACAAACATAAAAGCTTCAAATAAGCAGCAAAATGAAAAAAATGACAGTTGACAATATCTGTGTCTTGTTTTGTGATATTTAGTCTAGTGGTTAAGTTATGGGGGTAATAGTGGTACAGCGGTTAGAGTATAATAAGTATAAGTACTATGTGTTGTCATCATTGTATGTTCAAGGATCCAGGGAGTCAAGGTTCTTTATTTGTCATTCGCACCACATGTGGTACATGTGATTGTACAAAATGTCCAGCAATCACTGTGCGAAGGACGGGGGACACCCTGGACAGTTCGCAAGTCCATCACTGGGACACATAAAGACAAACAACCATTCACTCTCTCACTCACACCTAGGGACAATTTAGAGTTACCAATCAGTCTAACATGCATGTTTTTGGTCTGTGGAAGGAAACTGGAGTACTCTGAGAAAACCCATGCATGCACGGAGAGAACATGCAAGCTCCAGCCAGAAAGGTCCCTGGACCGGGATTTGAACCAGGGACTTGCTCGCTAAGAGGCAGCAGCTCTACCAGTTGCGCCACCATGCTGCTTCCAACAAAAGTATAAAATGTAAAAGAAAAACATTAATAAAATCTAAGATACGAATTACGAAAAACGTTAACTAAAATTTGCTAAGCACTAGTAGCATTAAAACAATATGCCGAACAGCAGCACGAGCATGAGTCTGTGTAAGCAGATGAATGAACACAGCAGCATGAAATAAATCAGCAGCTTAATGATGTGATTTTTCACAGTGATTATTCTGGTTAGAGATTCATGAGTCTAGCAGCCTCAGGGTATAAGCTGTTCCTCAGTCTAGTGGTTCTACACTTAATGCTCCTCAACCTGAGGGGAGTGGGGCAAAAAGTGTGTGTGCTGGGTGAGTGGGGTCCTTCATGATGCAGGTGGCCCTCTTTCTGCATCTGGAGGTGTAGATGTCTGTGATGGTGGAGAGACTGACTCCAGCAGACTTCTGTGCAGCCTTCACCACTCTCTGCAAAGCTTTTCTTTCTGCAGCTGTGCAGCCTCCATGCCACACGTTGATGCTGGAGCACAGGATGCTCTCCACTGCACACCTGTAGAAGGAGGTGAGGACTGAGCTTCCCAGACCAGCTCGTCTCAGCCGCCTGAGGAAGTAGAGTCTCTGATGAGCTTTCTTGATCAGGCTGGTGTTGTTGTTGCTCCAGCTGAGGTTGTCATTCATGTGTACACCCATGTACTTGTAGCTGGAGACCACTTCCACCACAGATCCTCATATGTTCAGGGGGGTAGGTGTGTTTGTTCCATCTGAAGTCCACAACCATCCATCCGTTCCCGTACAATGGCGAAATTAGTTCTCTGCATTTAACCCATTGCTCCTGGGATACACCCAGGTAGATCAGTGGGTAGCTATATAAGTGCCCAGGGAGCATTTATAAATTGAGTATTTTGCTCAGAGGCACCACGACATGTGGGAATGGATGGGGATCGAACCTGGGACTTTCGGGTCCCGAGTCGGCTGCCCTACCTCTACCCCATAGAAGTGAACCTGTGATGGAACATCGCCAGTTCAAATTTTCCTGCTGATCGTAACATCAAAATGGTGCTGGAAAATGTGAGGCACACACATCTGCCTCCACCCTCACCCTCATTTGCCCCTCTCCGGGTGGCCTATAGATGGCAGTCCTCTGCTCCACACATGTGGGCTGTGGTAGCTCGGTGTTCAGTGGTCGCAACAGGCATAATATCGATAGCCAAATCCTCATGCTAGTTCACTCGGTTGCTCCCTTCCTAAAGAGAAAAAAATTGTACTGGTTAGTGTTGCAGCCACGTAACACTGGGGCCACCGGTTTGAGTCCAGGTTGCTCCAGGAAGGGCAACCTGTGTAAAACAATTGCCAAATCTTTCATGCAACTTTGCTCACTGTGGCAACCAAAGTGAACATCCTTACTCTAGTGTATTTTTTAATAAATTGTTGATTTTTAGTTGGATTTTTTGTGCTAATTTTTTAAGCAAAAATGAGTTTGCAATGTTTTGCATTACATGACACTTGTTTTCTATGTTCTAATAAATGCGCAAAAATATAATAATAAAAATATATATAAAAAAAACAAGAAAGACCTTTGAGTGACGAAAATATAGCACCACTGGAGCAAGGCCATAAAAATATCAGCTCCTGCCTCACGGTGTCACTTAATGTAACTGTGTCTACACATGTAAGCTGGTTTTATAATGAACCTTTTGCTTCATGTTTGAGTGAAATAACAAAGTAATGTTTGTTCCCACTGATGTTTGCAGGTTGCGGAGCTGGTGACAAGCGAATTCTTTGAGCAGGGAGACAGGGAGAGGTCTGAGCTGAAACTAACCCCAGCAGTAAGAAACATTTCAGTCTTTCTGTCACTTGATGTTCTCCTTTTACAATCAGTTAACAGCATGCTGGAAGGAGTAATCCTTCTCCTTAATGCAGCCAGGCTTATGTTAAATATTTAGAGTGAATAATCTGATCAGGAGTGATAGATGGTGGTTGTCTCTCTGCAGGCCATCTTTGATCGTGAACGCAAAGATGAATTACCTGCCTTACAGCTGGAATGGATTGATGGCATCTGCAAACCTCTTTATCAGGTAGATACAAGCTGAAGTGTCACATTCAGGCTCCATTTGGTGTAACAAAACAAATTTAATTTAGGAAATGGCATTTTCTATGAAAATACAGACATGAACAAACACAGAGCCCTGAATGACTTTGCTGAAATTTGCTGAAGAAGGTGAAACTCAGTTGGTACAGTTTAAAATCTAGTACATAAGCTAAAAAATGCAAAATGCTAGTTAAAAGCTAGATGTAGCATTTGGTTAATTAAAAGCTGAAAGTAGTAAGGCATTAGCTAAAAGCATAAAAATATTAGCTAAAAGCTATTAGTGCAAAAGCCCGATGAAAATTGCAAAAGTTTAGTTAAAAGTTAAATCAACAATAGAGTACCTAAAAGTTAAAAGTAGCGAAAGGCTAGCTATACATGGACTGTATATTATTTCTATATTGCCTTTCTGTCTTATCAAGATACACAAAGCACTTTACACTGCGATATATGCCTTCATTTTACCATTCATACAGCACTCTACTATATATTTACAAAGAATAATCAGTGCTTTATCACATTCATACACTGATGGGACACACATCAGAGGCAATGAGGGGTTCATTGTCTTGCCCAGGGACACTTCGGCATGTGACTGCTGGTGGAATTGAACCCCCAACTCTTGCTTTGGAGGACGATTGCTCTAACCACTCAGCCACCCCATATAAGTTAAAAGTAGCAAAATCCTAGCTGAAGGTATCAAAATGTTAGACAGAAATTCAATATAGCACATGTTTAGCTACAAGCTAATAGTAACAAAAGGTTAACTAAAATTAAAAGTAGGAAAATGCTACTTAAAAGCTAAAAGTAGCAAAAGTTTATCTACGTGCTACCTAAAAACTAAAAGCAGTGCAAGTTTAGCTAAAAGCTAATGGTAACAAAAGGTTAACTAAAATTAAAAGCAGGAATGTGCTACCTAAAAGTTAAAAGTAGCACAAGTTTAGCTGCAAGCTAATAGTAACAAAAGGTTAACTAAAATTAAAAGTAGGAAAGTGTTACCTAAAAGCTAAAAGTAGCACAAGTTTAGCTACGTGCCACCTAAAAGCTAAAAGTTGCATAAGTTTAGCTATAATTCATTCAACCTTTATTTAGACAGGTAATCCCATTGAGCCTCGAGGACTCATTTACAAGAGAGACCAGATTCAACAAAGAAAGATGACAACAATGGACAACAGCAACAACAATAAACAATTTTAAAAAGTCCTACTGCAGTTTTTTTTTTTTTACAAATAGAATGGCTAAAAGAAAAAGGTAACAAAAAAACAGCTAAATTCTAAGGCGAATGTAGAAAACTAAAAACAGGAACATGTCTGCGTTGGTCCCTGCCAGGAGTCCAACAGATTCTTAAAGACACTTAGAGAGGTCATGGTCGAGAGCTTCAAATCTTTTTGTAAGATATTCCAGAAAACAGGAGCGGAGTAGGAGAAGGCCCTTTTGCCTAGTTCAGTCCTCATTGAGGGAACACTGCAGGTAATAATGTCCTGAGAGCACACTCCGTAGCATATATTAGTATAAGCTAATAGTAACAAAAGATTAACAAAAATTAAAAGTAAGAAAGTGCTACTTAAAAGCTAAAAGTAGCTAAAGTTTAGCTAGAGGCTAAAATTAGCAGAATTCTAGCCAAAGACTGAAAGCTGCATAAGAAGACAAAAATTAACAAGTTTGATTAAAGCAGATTTCAGATGTTAGGTTTCTGAAGTATTTGAAGATATCTTAATGTTTATGGGAAAAATACTTTAAAATAAAGTTAAATTCACTTAAACAATTGTCGGCTGTGGTAACTTGGTGGTCAGTGCCGTGGCCTTTTAATCCTGAGGTTGCGGGTTAGAGCCCAGGTTGCGTCAGGAAGGGCATCCAGCATAAAACAAATTACCAAATTAATGCTTGCTCACTCGCTGTGATGAGCCCTGAAGAAGGAAAAAAGACAAAAAAGTTACAAACAATAAAAGGTGGAAGCACCTATCTCCTGAATGAGCTCACCATTATGATTTATGAATGGCTAAAAGGAGCACAAAGTATGCAGAAATAGTTGGTCTGTCAAAAACATACAAAAATCAGAAAACAGTGTGAATGCTGACTCAGCATTCTCTCAGTAATCCTTTGTAAGTTTTTCAGCGGTCTCCGTTTGTTCCCTGTTGTCGCTCCCAGGCGCTGCTGAAGCTCAACAGGAAGCTGCAGCCGATGGTGGACGGGATAAATGCCAACTGGGAGAAGTGGCAGGAGCTCTGCTTTTCCAGCCAGCGAACGCTGCTCAGAGTCTCCGTGTCCAGTCAGAGTACCGATCCGGTCGAGTCCAGCGATGAAGCAGAAACCACCAAACAGTCGGAGACAACAGAGAAAGTGAACCGTGTCAAGAATACAAAGTTTGGGTCAAAGTCTGAGTGCGGTGAAGTTTTAAGATTTCGAGCAAATAAAGAATCAGATGGCGGCACGACGTCTGCAGGGGAAAAGTAGAGCCCGCTTCTTATGGCACTCATGAGAATAAATAATAGATAAACTAAGAAAGCACCACCCTAAACTAACAGGGCAAAATGAAACTCAGATTTCATCAGCTAACTGCTTCTACATCACTGACCTCAGGAGTTAGATGTTGGCCTTTAAAGGCCAGCGCCCTGTTTGTTTTCACACATCTGAGAGCGTTTCATCACTGAAAGAAGACAAACTGAAACCAAAGACTGGTCCCAGTAAGGGCCCATTGGAATGCCTTTTGACAAAAACATAAAGGAAACACTGTGACACTTCACCTAAATGAATGTAGTCTGGGACAGTCATGTTCCTGAATGTACGCTGTCTTTCTTTGGTAAATCTTTGATTGCATGGCCTTGATCCAGCGTTTGTTGGGTTATTTGACAACTCGTTTAGCAGCTTCTTGCATGTGCGTCACATCGATTAATGCTTTTTGCTTTATATAATCACCTCAGAGCTTTTGTTAAACATGTGCATTACCTTTAAATTCCTTAACACGAGGAAATACAAATAATTTTCAGATTCATTTGTGGGCCAAAATTTGTTTACTCTGATTTTATGCTTTTGCTTATACGTACTTAAGTTTTCGCAACCATGTCTAAGTTTTGTTTTTGCTCACCTGGGTAAAGCGACCATGTTTGTGCTTATTTGTGTGGTTTAAAGTCAGATCTAGGTGTGTTTCCTGCTATCCTGGGCTCTTGTTCTGAGCTGTATAGTGCTCAGTTTGTCTTTAAATCACAATCAGCAGCGTAAATGCAACCTTGAGTTTCAGATGAAGCAAAACTTGACGATGCCTTGAAAAGTTTGCCATGTTGTTTATGTAATGTAGAACTGACTAAATAACATGTTCTTCCATTTGTTTGCTTTTGCACGTTGATTCTGTTTAATCTGCATGTTTGATGTTGACTCTGGACATCTTGATGCCTTTGACTGCCCCATGAGATTCACATTGCATGCAAGTGTTGTATAAAAAAACATTATTCTGTCTTGTTACGTGTAATTTTGTTCATACTGTGCTGTTGTTGGTAACAGATAAAATAAATTATTTTTATCTGCAGGCTTTACCAAATTTACAAATTCATTATTTCCCATAACATGGACGTTATGTCAGAGCTATGCCCTTCGAACAATGGGCAAGAATATGTTTTATGAAAGAAAAACTGAAAAGGCAACTTTTAAGTGGATTTCTACTGTTTTTGTGAATAAAGTGCTGGATTGTTGCTAACGTTTGAATTAAAAACAAAATCTCAAGAGTTATTATTGCTTCCTTGAAAGTGATTTCTTGGTTTTAAATAGTCAGTTTGTGGTACATGTACACAGTTATTTACTTATGATACTTATAATACTATGGTTGGCTGCAAGCACAAACAGTAGCAGCAGCAGGTAACTGTAGCACTCCATGTGAAGAACATCCCATTGGTTGGTTCTCTAACTATCTTTCAGATCAGAGGCATTGTGTTCAGCATAATGGAATTTCCTGCAGTTATTTAACAGTCAACAATGGTGTACCACAAGGCTCAGTCTTAGGACCCACTCTCTTTACAATCTACATAGATAATGTAGGTCAGAGCATCCCTGATGCATCCTTATGTTTCTATGCTGATGACACAGTTGTTTATTGTCAAGCTAAGACAGTTGCTAAGGCTTTCCAGCTTTTGTAATTGCTTTCGACATCATCCAGTCAGATTGATCCATCTCAAACTTGTTCTAAACGCCAACAAAACCAAAGGGATGTTTTTATCTAACAGGAAGTTGGTCCCAGTAGTTCTTCCTCTGATTTTATCCTCGAATGGTGTCCCTATTGAGTTTGTCGATTCCTATAAATATTTGGGTATCTTGGTCGACTCGCAACTCTCTTTTAAGCTGCATGTGGAAAACCTAGTAAGGAAACTAAAAGTTAAACTGGGTTTCTTTTTCAGAAATAGATCCTGTCTAACTTTGAATGTTAGGAAACACCTTGTAACTGCGACCTTCCTTCCCTCCATTGACTAGGGTGACATTATTTACATGAATGCTCCTACAAGCACCCTGCAGTTGTTGGATGCTGTCTATCACTGTGTGCTGATTCATAACCTACCATACCCACCATTGCACTCTGTATTCACTGGTTAACTGGTCATCATTAACTTCACAAAGACTCTCTCACTGGTACATTTTCATATTTAAATCAATTCTCAGACTGTTGCCTTGTTGTCTCCTCCTACATGTCTCTGTGTGAGTGCAGCTACAGCGTGCGCTCTCAGGACATTATTACATGCAGTGTTCCCTCAGTAGGAACTGAACTTGGCAGAAGGGCCTTCTCCTACTCTGTTCCTGTTTTCTGGAATATCTTGCAAAAAGACCTGAAGCTCTCGACCTTGACCTCTCCAAGTGGCTTCAAACATCTGCTAAGTTCATGGGAAAAATCAATGCAGGCATGTTCCTGTTTTTAGTTTTCTACACCACCTTACAATCTAGCTGGGTTTTTTTCCACTTTTCTTTTTAATTATCCTTTTAATTACCATTTCATTTTCACTTGTTAATTTTTCTTTTTTTTTTTCGTATGCATCCTTTATGCTTGTCTATTATTGTCTTTATTGTCCACTGTTGTCATCATTCTTTGTTAAAATCAAGTCTCTCTTGTAAATGAGTCCCCGAGGCTCAATGGGATTAACCTGTCTAAATAAAGGTTGAATGAACGAATGTGCGGCTTGGGATCACTTCAAGCAGGAATATCATAATATTTCTGCAGGTATAACTAATGTGAAACTGACAGCAACATAAGGGTTTATAAAATAATGTATGCTTGATCTAGTGACATTTTTCTAGATTGGAGTTGTTGAACCTTATAATAGTTTATATTTAAAGTAGCTTCAGATTAGTTTAATTTGTGTCATAATTGGATTCATGACCGTTATAGTAAGGCCCATGCCTTACTCATTGCTTTCACACAGATGTTCATGAACCTCTGGGTGACGTAGTGGATTCTTATTTAAAGTGTTACTGTGTTCAAACTTGGGAAACTTAATATTTTTATCTCCAGTAAAATATGGAAGAGCACACCACAATGAGTGGACACTGTGGATGTTGGCTTGTTTTATATCTAACTTGGTTTGTGATGATTTTTTTATTGATTGGATTATTGATCATTCAGCTAATGTAGATATCTTATTTTGTTTCTGTCAGAAAATGTTTAATGTCTTAACATTTCCTATCTTAATGCACTATATTTGCTGTACAGGGAGAAAATACACTAATGGATAGTGTTCTTTCCCTACATTTTACACCTAAAATGTTTACCCCTAAAGGTGAGTCATAAATAAACACAAACATGACGTGTTTGCATCCTAATGTAATCTTAAATTAAGCTGGCAACATGCTGCACTTTTTCCAGAATATCCCAAACTGGCTATAGCTCCAGGCTTTCACACAGATGTTCATAAACCTCTGGGTGATGTAGTAGATTCTTATTTAAAGTGTTACTGTGTTTAAACTTGGGAAACTGGATATTTTTATCTCCAGTAAAATATGGAAGAGCACACCACAATGAGTCTTGAGTCTTGGTGGATTATTTGATTGTTACGTGGCCATTGTTTAGAAAGATTAATGAAAATTAAATGTTTGTTTTTTATGAATCTTCTTTTGGACAGCACACATGAAGGAGTTAATCAGGACTATCACAAGTAAGTGCATTAGATTAATTACTCTACAAACCACAGCATCGGCCCCACAGAGAATATATAGAACATTGTTACATATTCACATGGTTTCTTTTGAACGCCAGTATTTGTCTGTGAAGAGCGTTTGATGTTGGCTTTAATAAGGCGGCGAGGTGAGGCAACAGTTGCAGCAGGAGCGTAGAAAAGTCAGTGCAGCCTTCCAGCTGCAGAGCCACAGTCAGAGCTGAGCCTTAATCTATAATTTAACATGGATTGAGTTTATTCTCGCAGGGTCGATGATCAGGGAGAACCGGGTGGAGAGAGGAGGGAGAGCCTTCCAACCTCATTTTTGATATGGCACCCGGCTCTGCCACACTTTGATCTCGCTCCCCCTTCCTCCCACTTTCTCTTCTGTTTTTTCTCTTTGTTGTATCTCCTTTAGAGAAAACAGTTTCAGTCCAGTTTGCTCTGACATACTGTACCGTATGTACAAACTGGGAATGCAGTCACTTTTCATGAGACAAAACCCACACAAACCTCTGAGAATGACTCACAATGAAGACGTCTAAATATTATGAGCATACATTTAATCACCATATATGCTTTTTACTGCTGCCAGAGAAAATGTCCTGTATCCATTTTTAGAAACGAGACTGTACTGCAAATGCAATAGTGCAAAGTAATCTAAAAATAATAAAACACAATTCTAAATGTTAGAAGCACAGATTCGTCTATTGTGTAATGTGATTTTTTTTTTCCATAAGAATATGCTTGAACTTTGTAAAGAGTTTTAAAATGTTGCATTGATGAATTTCAATCACTAACTGCAATAATTTTATAATTCAACACCTGAACTGACTTTTGAGCCACAAACCAAACAGGAACATTGAGCTTTTTGTTGTGGGGTTCTGTACAAAGTTAGAAACAATAAATATCTCCCCTGTTGTAGATATTTTTATTATGTTGAATGACTCCTGTTTTGAGGAATAGCTACAGCTACAAGCAAGCAGCAGAACCAAAACGAAAGTGGATTTCTGTCATTTTAAAACTGCTCCAAACCAAAAAAATAACTAGACAAATTGCATTTCCTGCAAAAATGTAGTGTGAATGCTTTTTTCTGAAGAACTTGCTGAAAAACAGCTGAAATTAGCTAAAAACATGCTGAAATGTTCTGCTTCAAGTGGAGGAGTTCAAGTATCTCGGGGTTTTGTTCACAAGTGAGGGAAGAATGGAGCGTAAGGTTGGAAGACAGATTGGTGTAGCACCTGCAGTATTGTGGACTCTGTACTGGTCCATTGTGGTGAAGAGGGAGCTGAACTGTAAGGCAAAGCTCTCTGTTTACCGGTCGGT